ATTCCTTAGAGCATAGTCACAGATAGTTTATGAGTAGTTCTTATTCTTCTAATTCTAGACTAAACTATTACAAGGCACATACAAGGTAGACAAACAAATTTCTTTGAAGGATACTATTCTCTAGAGTTAAACTAGATCTGAAGAGCTGTTATATATCTGCTGCTTAAGCAGGTTGTGGTTATAACGTTTCGTAAATTCCATTGTTTAGCACATTCGATTAATGAGAAAGAGAGCTGATGATGAAGATTTGGCGGATGCATTCATATCTGTCGCAGATGACAATGTGTGTGTGTGTTGGTGTGTATTGGGCGTGTCAACATGGTATGTGTATGCAAGTGTCTTGAACATATGTATGTATATATGAAAGGATTTAATGGATGTTATTGAATTTCTTGTTAAAACTAAAAATAAAATCAGCATGCCATTAACCATTTAACAAAACAAAAAAAAAATGCAATAAAATCTGACTAAATGTTTATCATGCTTTTAAACGTCTAACAAATTAATGTATTCAGGTATATAAAAGGAAATTACCAGATTTTGTTGTTAATTGTTATAAATTTTCATTAATTTGCTATAGAATCTTTTACCAATCATGTTATGAGTGTTAGTTAGAATGTGATCTTGGACTGTGACTTAAATTCAGATATTCATAACATTGGCATTACTTACGTTTCATTTGTGGCCATTTTTACAGATTTTCCTAAAAAGAAAAGTAGAATTTTATAAAAATTGCAATTTATTCGAAAAGGTGACAATATAGACAAAACATATTTCTTCAATATTTTCAACGTTTTAAAAAGGTTATATAAGCGATTTTAACTTGAATACAAATCGTACACCTAATGATACGATTCAAATAATTAAAAAATGTGAATTTTACTTCTCAGAATAATTCTTTGGGTTGTGATTCATTTATATTAAAAAAAAATCCTTCAAATCTAACGGATATTATAAAATGTCACCAAAAACTGTGTTTTTTTTTTTTTTGTTATAAAAAGTTTGTTGTTGCAAAAGATGTTAATGATTACCAGGGGGTAAGGCAGGGAATACCTAGGTTTCCCTTGTTCCCTTGCTTTTTGTCTGGGAGTTATTTTAAAACCAGTAGGGGAAAGTCAAAAGTCGGGCGGGGTCGACTATAAGATACCCTACACCACAATGCATATTTAGTAGAGCTCCCGTAACAAAAGAATGTATTTAAAGTAGATCATACCACCTATCAACATTTGGCTTTAGAACAGTTATAGTTTGCTATAGAGTGCATGATATCACTTGTAGAAGGGTTATATTAAAAAAAATTACATCGGAGCCGAGTTGCACAAAATGGAAACCTACGTCCTGAAATTCACTTCATTTGGGCTGATATTATCCATTATTTGCACAATATATATCCGAAATCGGTTGAGGATATATATGGGAGTTATATCCAAATCTGAACTGATCTTGACAAAATTTGATACACTTATTTCGCAGCTGTATCTGATATTTGGTACCAATGAAGATCATTGTTGTGGAATGCATATTATGCTTGTGAGGGATTTTAAAGCCCAAATCGGATAAAACATATACATGGGAGCTATATCTATATCTGAACTGATATGCACCAAATTTGAAGTACTGATTTATGGGATGAATTAATTCGTAATTGCTTAAATTCAGTTCATTTGGGCTGATATTAGTCATTTGGTGCACAATAAATCTGATATGGGATAAAGATATATATTAGATATATAATCTGAATCGATCTCGATAAAATTTGACATGTGTATTTTCGAGCAATATCTGATATTCGGTACCAAATAGCATTCTTTTGGAGTGCATATTACTCATGTGAGGGACTTAAAACCCAAAATGGATGTACCAAAATACAGGCCATTTGGACTTATATTAGCTATATCTGAACAGATTTCAACAAATTGGATGTCATTTGTCAATGCATTAGTTCTGATATTGGCCATTTGCTGCAAAATTTACCCGAAATCGGTTGAAGATATATGGGAGCTATATTTAAATCTCATCCTCTTTGGGCCAAACAAATATTGATTGCAAAAATTGCGACCTGCATTTAGTTCACAAGAATAAATGGACGGACGGACGTACTGACATGCATAAAACGACTCAGAAAGTGATTCTATGAAGATCCTCAAAAATAAATAATGGCCCAATATAGTCCATTTCGTGTCGGAATTAAATAAATATGATATTAATATTGCGACCTGCCAGGTTTAGACTTTATACGAAATACATGATATTTTTTTTAGAAAATAATAATGTGCGTAAGCTGCCAGATACAGGATGAGATAAGAAACTGCAATAAAGTCAAAAGCCATAATTTTTAGATTTTTTTTTAATTTTATTGAATGAAAGAAAAAAAAGGTCGGAAATGGCATCAAATTTTAGAATAAGTTTGGATTTCTTCGAATTGGTCAACTTTGTCACGAATTATGGCCTTAAAACAGCCAATGAAACCGTCACACGCTGGCCGAATGTTGCTCTTCGGTGTTTTGGTCCATTTTCGTCGAAGGGCTTGTTTGAGGTGATCAACACTTTGGTATTTTTTAGTGCCAACCTTGCTTTCCAAAATGCTCCAGAGACAATAATCCAACGGATTGGTATTCTGAGATTTTGGTGGCCATTATGCGCTGGAAATGAAGCGAGGAACCTCATTTTGTTAACATTCTTGGATGGCGCGCGCTCAGTGCAATGGTGCTGAGTCCTGTTGGAATATTCAAGGTCTGAGGCCAAAATGTATGCGTGCTTTAATATACCCTCCAGAATATTTTCGAGATAATATTCGGCATTTTTTCTGATTCCACTGTCGATTAATACGTCTGGCGGCCCACATCATCACCATGGGAGGCGCTTGAGTTCTGGTGGCCAACCGAAGGTGCATATTTTCAGCTGACCTCTTTGGCAAGTAAACACAACGAATATTTTCTCATAGGAGAAAACTAAATTCGGCGTGGTGAACTACTTTTTTTCTAATTTTTTTTCTGTTGCGGTGTAACTTCTTGCACTTTTTGGGATTTCAATGACTTTACTCCTAGCTCATTTTTCAATATTTTCCGAATGGAATATTGCGATATGTTCAGCTAACGATCCATTTTTCGGCCACAGCGACTCGGGTTTCGATCAAGTCGCTTATTTACTATTCGAACCATTTCTACTGATGTTGCTGTTTTCTTTCGTCCACTTCCTTGACGTGGGGCTACGCTACCAGTATCACGGTAACGAGCGATGGTACGAGACTCAAAAGGTTTATTTACATTAAAATGCTGGAGTGCTCTAACGATAGCCACTTGTGATTTTCCAGCCCAATATAAAGAAATCATACTATCACAATTGAATTCAATCACGAAGAACTTTTTTTTCTGGAAAATTCTCACCAAAAATGCTGTTGCACGCTTGTAAATAATATAATGAGTTGTCACTGGAATAATTTTACCAGCTATGGGGTGAGTGGCTTAGAAATGACATCTCACCCTGTATAATTTTCAATGAAAACGGGTTATATATTGTATTAATTGGCAATTGGTTTTGTCATTACTAAATCCTTCATTTTAGCTCCAAATCAATTTTGTCGGTGTCGATAGTTTTGTTGTGGTCTATTTTACCCCCAAAATATTATCAACTGATGGACATCACACATGCTCGGCCCCTGTCCTAAACTTTAACCTTATGCAAAATTCCGAGCGGATAGGAAGCTTGATAGGAGCTTGATTTGAAAGGAAAATTTCTATTTCTATCCCTAAATGTTTCGCGTACATCTTCATCTTCTATTCTGATCTTAAACCTATCCCCGTGCAAAATTTGGCGAGGATTGGGCGAAAATTGCGACCTGTATATAATACAGATTACACGTACTGTTGTAGGGTTTTTACAAAATGTTACAAAATGTATAATTCAATAATATAAGTCAAATTGAAATAATCATATGTGAAACTTATAATATCCCCTACACATAGTGTTGTAGGGTATAAAAATCAGATCCATAATATTAACAAGGACATGTTGCTTGAAATGTGTCGTTATTTCTACAAGTCCATTAAATAAATACTCATTCAATGATGTTCAGCAGCAATTCAATATTTAAATGTGTGTGAATTTGGTTAGTCGAGATTAGTCGAGAAAGATTAAAGGCGAGTGATGATGAATAAATGGTTTTTAATTTAAATATAAAAAAAGGAAACCTTTTCATTTTGTTTTATTATAATTCTTTATTTTGGAAAAAAATTAAAAATACAATATTTATAATAAGCTTAACTTTCTATTACTTCTCTTTTTGTTTTTTTTTTTTTGTTTTGTTAAGATTTGTATACAAATTTGGAAATAAAATATATGGTCCTGCGACACATCTATCTATGTAAGTACATTCAATCATTAGATTTAAGTAAACAAATAAAAGATTACAAAAGTTTTGCTTTGCGTAAAAAAATTCATACAAATTCCTATTAAATATTTTATAGTTTTAAGTACAATTGTTATAGTTAAGTACAATTGCAATTTGTTTTTTAGATTTATTTAAAATATATTTATATATGTATAAACTGTATAAAAAAAGTTAATTGCTTAGTGGTGATATTACACAATAATATAAAATCATGAGAAACAGGACGGTTAAAAAACAATACATTTAAGTATGTGTGGATAATGTTTTTATTTTTTACAAAGTTATGGAAAACATATGTATATGTGTGTGTGTAAATATAAAAAAATTAAGATATTTTTGAGATTATCGTTCCCATATATTCGAGTCTGATCCGAGAAAAGCAATTTACGAAAATTGACTGACTTATAAATTAATTGGCTTATCATTACGAAAAATATATATGTATGAACTTTAAATTATATACTACACTTAGGCATAGTATTTATTTAATTATTATATAGTTTATTAAATTATTCATCGTTTTTTTATTTATTAATTTTCTTACGGCATTCACAATCGTAAAAAAATAATAAAAATAATAATAATATAAAAATATATATAAAATAATAAAAACAAAACATATTCGAGTTTGTGTGTTTTTATACATGTCCTAGTGCACACAGTTTGAGAAAAATCGTTCAAAATTGAAAATAATGTCGTTAATAAAATTGTCTATCGAAAATGTTTAACAAATTGTTGGCCTAGTTATTTGGGCGACAAATATATCTCGATTTTACTCGCGAGTGAAAAATGCTTGCGAGAGGAAGTATTAAAAGAGTAAGAGAGTGCTCTTCACTCTTTTGTTTTATGTAGAAGCAAACAGGCTTTTAATATTGCTGAGAAATTCTATTGAATTTTACTCTGTACTCCAAATTGGGAAAGGTCAAAAGATCCAGAAGGGAAAGGTCAAAAGTCGGGCGGGGCCGACAATATGATACCCTACACCACAATGCGTATTTAGTAGAGCTCTCGTAACAAAAAAGTTTTTATTGGGAATTTATGTGAAGTAGATCATACCAACTATGAACCTTATTTGAATGCGTATCATGGCTTTAGAGCAGTCACAATTTGGAACTATATCCAAACCTGGATCTGGAACTATATCCAACGTTGACGGAGGCTGCAAATCTGAACCGATCTCGTTAAGATTTGACAGAGGTATTTTCGAGCTGTATTTGATGTCCGGTATCAAATATCTTTGTTGTGGAGTGCATATTACGCATGTGAAGGACTTAAACACCAAATTGGATGAAACCTATTGGATAAGCTATAGCTATATCTGAACCGATTTTCACGAAATTTGAAATACTTGTTTCTAGGATGATTTGAGTTGGAATTGCCAAAATTCAGTTAATTTAGGCTGATATTAGCCGTTTGGTGCACAACTAACCGGAAATCGGTTGAAGATATATATGGGAGCTATATCCAAATCTGATCCAATCTCGATAAATTATGACAGAGGTGTTTTTGAGTTATCTGGTGTCAAATAACATTCTTGTGGGCTGCATATTGTGCATGTGAGGGACTGAAAACCCCAAATCGGTTGAAATATATGTGGGAGATAGAGCTATATCTGAAAAGATTTTTGCCCAAATTTAATATACTTGCTTCTAGATTGAATTCGGTCCGATGTGCCAAAATTCAGGTCATTTGGACTAATATTGGCACAATTGGTGGTGCACAACTAACCCGAAATCGGTTGAAGATATATAAGCGAGCTATATCTAAATTTGAACCGATTCTCATCAATTTCAAAAGAGTTTGCCCTTGGGCCAAACAAATATTGTTTGAAAATTTTCATCTCAATCGGATAATAAATGCGACCTGCGTTTTGTCCACAAAAATACATGGACAGACGGACGGAGGGATAGTCTGACGGACTGATATGCATAAATCGACTCAGAAAGTGATTCTATGAAGATCCTCAAAAGTAACTATGGGTCTATCTCACTTCCTTCTCCATATTACAAATGAACTCACAAAGACATAATGATGTGAACCTGGTACTACCCAATTGCGAATCAATGTAATATATTTTTGTGAATGGTATCGGAAAAATTAAACCAATATATCCTAAATATAAGATCCTGCTAATGTTGAACATAATATAGGTTTGTACAAAGTTGGAAAAAATCACGGAATAATTTTATTTTGATACTCGAAATAGGGTATGGAAATTTTGGGAAAACTTTATTTCGAACTAAGTACCGATTAAGTTGTGAATGAAGGGAAAGTTCAATAGAGAGCAGATCAAGGAGAAATACTGCCTTATTTTTTATTTCGATTTTTGCTCGACTTCAGTTGTCCTTAAAAGAGATTTTTCTCTACGCAAGTAAAGGTGGTGTTGCGGACTCCGTCGGACTGTGGATAATTTCGAATAGAACATTTTTTAATTTAATGATTTTTTTTAAATTAATCGATTTTTTCTATGTTCTTGTAACTGTCATGGAAACACTAAGATGAAAATGTTGGGATGAAAAACAGCTAAAACTTTATATCGAACTGAATACCGATTAAGTTGTGAATGAGGTGAAAGTTCAATAGAGAGCAGGTCAAAGAGAAAAATTACAATATTTTTCATATTTAGATTTTTGCTCGACTTCAGTTGTTCTAAAGAGATTTTTTCTACTGAAGACCCCATCGGACTGTGGATAATTTCGAGTAGACGCTTTTTTATTAACGACGTTTTTTTTTTCAAAATAATTGATTTTTTTTCTGTGTGCTTGTAGCTGTCATGGAAGGGCAGAACGAGAAGGATTAGATATTTAATTATAGTAGAATTGCGTTGTAAAATTTTGTTTTGAAAGCATTTGAAAGGGACAATCAAAGGATTTAAATTTAAAACTAAAATGTATTTTTTTTTTCTAAATTCCAGTTTTTTTTAATAACGAAATTGAGAAATATTACGTACGTTTGTTTTTCTCACTAAATTTTCTTAAATCAGATTCTTTTTATCAAGGATGTTACGTATATTTTTTGTTGTAAATTACCGAAATAACAATTTATTTTTGAAAAACAAAAAAAAAAAAAGATTCAAATTTTAAATAAACTAAATTGAAAATTTGTGCTTGTTTCAAAATGTGCATTTACTTATGAACAATTTTGGAAGATTTTGAAAAAATTGTTAAAAAGAGAGAAAATTAAATCCTTGAAGGATTTTTTTTCAACTGGACGCAAACGAAATTGCCGAAATTTTTAAAAAAATATGTATATAAATAATAGTGGAAGAAATAAATTGTTTGTTTTTTTTTTGTTTTGTCACAATTTCTTAAAGTCGTTGTCTATTTTCTGTTTTATAATGCCTCGTTTAAGGAATTTTGTGTGTGTGTGAGTGTGCATTTGTGTTTGTGCCCTTTAGATTTTCAATCCTGTTTCTTAGACAGAAGTATTTGTTTTATTTTCAGCAGGATTGGCATGTCCATTGCCATTGGTGGCCGTCGCCGTTTTGTTGCTGTTATTCTTGAGATCAGCCTTCTTTTGTGAATCCAATTTATCGGTGACGGGGGGTGTGGGTTCCTCCGATGTCTGGTGTGTGGTGTCGATGTTTTCTTCGCCGTTATTGAATTCACGACCATCGAAATCTTCATTGAGATGGGGATTGATTTGGGCTTCAGAATCGGGACCAATGTCAGTGTTTAGGGTGGCTCCTGCAACAACAACAAAAGAAAAAAGAAAAAGAACAAGAACTAACATTTAGCTTCCGTTTTGTCTCGAATTGGTAGAAAGAACAAATGTACAAAAAAAAAATAATTCAAAGCAAAACCAAAGAAAATCAAAATAGGAAATTAAGAAAAACTTAGAGTACAGACCATAAAAAAATAGCAATGAAAATGAAACTTAAAAGCAAAGTAAAGCACCATAGAATGTGTTTTCGTTTTCAAACTACAAACTTCTACCAAAAGAAAAATAACTAAAAAAAATAATAAAAGCAAAGAAAGCAAAGCCAAAAACCTAAAACCATACATAATTTTTTTTTTTTGCAAACTAAAATTTCAAATTTATTTTATTGTTAGTAGAAATTTAGTTTGTTTTTTTTTCTCGCTTACACCAAAAACCAATAAAATTTTATTTGTTTATCAAATTGTAGGTTAAAATTGCCCTATTGCCAATTAGAAAACTAAGCGTCACGTTTTTTCGTTCGTTCTTGCGTTTGCAACTCAAAATGTCATGTTAGCTCTTGTTTGTTTTTTCGTATTTTCATTTGTTGTTGTTGTTGTTTTTTTCTTAAATGTATTTTCACAATATTCCAACAAATATAATCAATATTTAAGAAGTTTTATTTTTTCTAAACAAATGTTGGTGCATCATGCAAAAATGACTTAAAATTTAAATGGAATTTTAAGAGATGTGCAAATTTGGTTATTTGATGTGAAATGGAAATGTATGGCATTTTGTTGGGATGTATCTTCAATTAGTAATATAAACTAAATGATATATAACGACATAGAATTTAATAATTGCATTAATTTAATTTAAACTTTTGATCTGAATGATATTGTCGGATGAACATAAAGTTACGTTTCTGAGGGTTTTTAAAAATGACTTAAAGCTGTCTGTTTCATACAAGTTCGTGCGACCAACAATGAGACAGAAAATTTTGCAATTCGAATGAGAACAAGTAAAAACAAGTAAGCAAAGGCTACCGTAGAGCGGGGCCGACCGTTAAATACCCTGCAACACTATAATAAACGATACAGTATATATAGGCGAGATACTCGAAAGAATTCCACAAGATATTGTGACAAATAATAAAAGAAAACCAGGTTTCGTTCTCTAATTTTCGAATAATAGCAACTTAAACTAATTTGCTCATTTCCAATTTATTGGTAGATGTTGCGCGTAAATGGTCTTCCTAGATCTGGAACCAATATTTCCCAAAGACCTATATCTCTCAGAAGTGGCAAAAAATTAACATTTATTATTGGTTTTTGACTGAAACGCATCTATATGAAATACAGACATTTGACTATATTCTTCAACGAAATCAGCATTAACGAAATATTCAGAAGTGTGTCTTTCCTGTATTTGTGAATTCTACAAAAAGTCACTGGAATGGACATTTTCCTATTTTGTCTACAAAAGTTGGCAAACTTCTTCACACATTGAATATTTTTGGATGGCCATCCAAAATTGCTTGGCTTTTGCAATGTCCGGTAACCCCCATTCAAATGTGCGTGAGGACCGGGCGATAATTACGACCTGCTGACAATTTTGCAGTTTCGGTCCATTTCAACCCCTAAATATATGGCGATCATCTCCAAAAAGAGTAGGCTTCTATTCTGACCCTCATCTTATCCCCATGCAAAATTTCGTAAGGATCGGGCCATAAATGCGATCTGTATATGATATACTGATATCCTAACTACTTAGTTTTAGAAATATTCCCAAATGTTTAATTCAAAATGAAAATATGCCAAAAATATGACAAAATTAAAAAAATATGAGAAAAAGTTACAAAATCAATATTTTCATCTTAAGAGAGATATTTTTATGCGATTTTTTGACGTTTTTTCTTTCCTGCCAAGAGGCCATTCTGAATTAATGAGAACTGTCGAAATCAGTTCAGCCGTTCTCGAAATATATGAGATCTTTCAAGCATATCTTCTTTGATAGACATATATATCGCACATATTTTGCTATATATCCGATTTGTTGGATCTTAACATCAATGAAAAGATCAGAAGTAACCTTGTCATGTCTTTGTGATTTCGCCGGGACTTAAAATATTCTCGGTTTAATGAAAAATTTTGAATTTTTTCAACAAAAAAGATATGGTCTTTTTTACCCGCTAAATATTATCCGATGACCACCCAAATTGGTAGGCTTCTTCCCCGCCCTAAACTCTAGCTACATGCGAAATTCCGCATCGATTGGTCTATAATTGTAACCTGTAGAGCAACTGCAAAATCAGAAAATTTTTCAGTTTTTGGTCCATTTCAACCCCTAAATATTATACAATCCTCTCTAAAAGAAATAGGGTTCTATTCTGACCTTAACCCCACCTACATTTTAAGTTTCGTGAAGATCGGGCCATAATTGCGACCTGTAGAGTGATTACAAATTAACATGGACAGACGGACAGACGGACGGACGGACGGACGGACATACATAGCTAGATCGACTCAGCTCGGCGAGACAGGAAGATCCATATATACTTTCCTATGTGGGAAATCAATATTTAGTGGTGTTACATAATTTTTGGCCCAATCAAACTTATAATACCCCCAACACATAGTGTTGTAGGGTAAAAAGATTAAGTTCGGCCGGGTCGAACTTTTAATATCCTCTATCATTTGGAATGAATTTGGAAATTTTCAAAAAATAAAATCCTCAAAAAATTCTGTTTAAATTTTTAAAATACTGAATATAGCCGTTTAATTGGGGTCTACACGAAGTGGACCTACAAAGGTATTGTGTGCCATAAGCCATTACCATATTCAAATTCTATAAATTGAAATACGGTGAATAATGTACCGTTATATCGGAGCTATGTGAAGACCTGGACCAGCCAGACAATTTTCTGTCAGTGGCTGTAACATTCAATACGAAGTTTAAATACGACATCTCAAACAATATCGGTGGGTATTTCCTAAACTCGTCAAAATACCGAATATAGGGAGGAACCGTTATATAGGGGCTATACACAGACGTGGACCTGCACAGACAATTTTCTGTCATAGGCTGTAGTATCCATTTCGAATTTCAAATGCCAAATATGAAATAATTTCGGTGAATAATGTCGCCAAAAATCATCAAAATACAGAATATAGGCAGGTACCGTTTAATGGGGGCTATATGAAAACATGGACCTACATGGCCCATTTACGAACTTAACCTGCCTACTGGCAAAATAAACACGTGTGCAAAATTTTAGCCTTCTATCTCAATTCGTTTGAAAGATAGCGTGATTACAACAGACAGAAGGACAGACGGACAGATAGACAGACAGACGGACAGACACACAGACAGACAGGCGAACATCGTCTTAGAATTTTACGCTGATCAAGAATATATATACTTTGTTGGGTCTAAGATCATTATTTCGATGAGTTACAAATGGAATGACAAAATGAATACACCCTCCATAGTATGATGGAGGGTATAAAAACAAAAAAAATTGAGATAAGTCCCAACATTCTTTCTAAAAATCGTCTACGTATTTTCCTTCATAATGCAGCTTGCTGGTTTAAAATATCAGGGTTTGCCACACAAAAATATCGCTGTTTATAGCCTCCACCATAGTGCATACCCTCCATATATTTAGTTTGACATTTCGTTTGTAACACCTCGAAATATGCATTTAAACCTTACAAAGTATATATATTCTTAATCAGCATAAAATAAAAAAGTCCGTGTGTCCGCCTGTGGAAATCACTCTAGAATCTGAACGAATTCAAGTAGGATGATAAAATTTTACTCAAATGTGTGTTTGGTCGGCAGGACTTTTTGTATTGAAAATAGACCATATATGTCAACGTTTAAGCACACTCACCCCCCCCCCCCCCCCCCCCCCCAAAAAAAAAAAATAAATAAATAAATAAAAAAGGTACAGCAGTCTGTGACTGCATATGCCTATGCAGGTCCACGTCTTCACATAGCCCCCCTATATCGGTAACTCCCTTTATTCGGTATTTTGATGATTTTGGCTACATTATTCACCGAAAAGGTTTCAAATTTCGAATTTGCACTTCGTACGAGTACTACAACCTATGACAGAAAGTCGCCTATGCAGGTCTAGGTCTTCGTATAGCACCTTAATATCGGTACCTCCCTATGTTGGGTATTTTGATGAATTTAGCTACTTTATTCACTGGAATTGTTTAAAATTTCGTATTTGAAGTTCCATCTGGACATCATATGAGTCTATGACAGAAATATATCTATGCATGTACAGGTCTTCGTATAGCCCCCATATAACCGCACTTCCTAATATTCAGTATTTTGATGTTTTTGCGCCATTATTCACCGGAATTGTTTTAAGTTTCGCATTTGAATGCTATAATGACTATGACAAAAATTGCATATGTACATCCACGTTTTCGTATGGACCTCGATACAATGGTAACTATCTATATTCTGCATTCATAAAATTTTAACAGAATTGTTAACAGAATTTTTTTTATTGAAAATTTCGTTCCATTTGGATACTTGCTTATTCGGGGTGAGATGAAAAAACTGCAACCAACTTCAGACTGCTGTCATTTCTAAGCCACTCGTCCGACGGCTGTTTATATTATTCCAGTGACAGGTCAGCTGAAAATGTGCACCTTCGGTTGGCCACCAGAACTCAAGCGCCGGCCATGGTGATGGCGTGGGCCGCAATAACAGCCGATTGGTGCTACCCGCTCGTATTAATCGACCGTGGCATCAGAATAAATGCCGAAATATATATATAGCGAAAATATTCAGGAAGGTGCATTAAAGCCATGGACACGCAAACATTTTGGCCGCAGACCTTGAACTTTCCAACAGGACTAAGCACCATCGCACTCAGCACGCGCCACCCAAGAATGGTTAAAAAATGAGGTTCCTCGCTTCATTTCTAGCGCACAATGGCCACCAAAATCTGCGGATACCAATCCGTTACACTTTTGTGTCTGGAGTATTTTGGAAAGGAAGGTTGGCACTCAAAAATACCAAAGTGTCG